CCCCTCGGATGCACTGCCTGTGGGCTTTGTCCCTGAGATTCCTGCTCTCTCCTCGGTATTCCCAGATGCCTCCCAGAGGCAAGTGCCAGGTGAGTGGCTTGGCAAAGGCGGCGCTGTAAGGAGCTGGCATGTCCTGGGCATGTCCGGACGGGTGCGAGTGCTGCAGAGCACGAGCAGGAGGCAAAGCCAATTAGCTAAAATAGATGACAGGCTCATAGCAGCTATGGTTACAGCACTGTGCTCTCTGCAAGGAAGAGGAACTCATTGCCCAAGGCACGAACACTGATTTAGGGACCTGGAAGGAGATAGATGTGAAGATCACTGCAGCAAGTAGGACATCGTAGGCTGACTAATAGTATATCATATCAATATTCCCATTTAAAGGCAAACCAGCTTCCAAAACCAGTTACCAAACCTCTGGTGTCTGGGAAGACTTGGCAGCACAAGTGGCTACTGATGAATATTGCAAAAAATTATTGGAGGTTAACAAGTGTGAGCTGGGAGCTGAGGAGAGTTTGTAGATGGAGCAGGGACCCCAGCCTGGTTTGCTTTTCACTTCAGGGAGATCTGTCCTGCTGCAGAGGCTGAGCTGTGTCACTGCTGTTCCCATCTTCTGTCTTGTCTCACCCACCCCTGCAAATCTGCCTGAAGGCCAGGAGGAGAATCTGTAAGGAGAAAAGTGAGCTGGAGAAGGGAAAGAAGAATTGAGTAGGTGGAAATCCATGTTTGATTGCTAGAGGCGCAACGCGGGAAGGAAAAGTACTGTTCCACTGTAAAATATATATATATGTAAAATCATGATAGTTATATGTATAGCTCATAAATGCTCAGTGGAGGGAGCACTCTGTTACACTGGAGGTGTCACTAAGGCTGTTTTCTGCAGTCACATGGAAAAGTATGAAATAAGAACACCCAGAGCACACTTCCAGGATGACATGGGAGAAGGGGAAGCCCTTGGTGTTGTATTGAATGCAACCCTGGAGTTGTATTCACAGCCAACAAAAGGTGCATGGCCAGGGATCAGGTCTCTTGGAAGGCTGTCAGTACAACAGGTCAATACATGCCCTTTGGTTTACAACAGGGAATTCACGGCGATTCATTGCGATGGTCTAATGTGTTATCTGGAACAGGGTTGTTTTATTTTTGCCATATACAATGCCTCATCTGTGCCTAGCTCAGTAAAAAAATCCTGGGAGCAAGGAAGACGTGTGATGTACAGTCACATAATAAATAGACCTTGAACATTGCTGCCTGAGGGCAATTCCAAGAAACCTCTCCTTTAGCTCCTGGATTCTGACAGTCAGGATGCCTGTTGTTGTCTCCCAGGACTTGCTGAAATGCATTAGTGCCCAAGCCACTGATGTTGTGAGACCCGGTTAGTAGGTTGTTTCAAACCCTCCTTCCCCCTGTAACACTGGTTCTGATTTTCACAGTAGTGGGAATGCTGCTGGGAGGGGGGTCATCCCCAAGGCAAGACAGTTGTAGGATGACCAGGTTTAAAAGGTCCCACAGCAGGGCTTACTGTCCCTGTGTGTGGATGCTGGTGCTCAGCACTGGCCTCCCCCCAGGGCTCTGTCGCTCCAGGACAGATGTGAGATGCTGGGAACTGACACAGGGGCTCAGAGCTGCTGTGTGGGGATGGGGCTGGTTCCCCACCTCCCGCTCCTGCTGTCACTCTGGCTTTACCTGACTAGTGTCACTTAACTGACAGAAAGCTTTCCTGGATGAGAAGGGGCTTCTTGTTTCGTGTTAGCAATTGCAGTAATAACTGCAGCCAGCACAAGGATGTGGCAGCAGTGGGAAGGTGGGGAGATGCTGTGTTCAGATGAGGGAAATGTTTGCAGTGGAAAACTCACTCTAAAAAAAGTTGCTGATTTTCAAACAAACCTGTTTAATTCACTGTGTGACCCACCCTGAGATAACGCTGGTGGCAAGGGAGTGCTGGGAAGAACAGCTGGGACTGATCTGATGCTATTGCAGTCAAAGAATAATAGAGTGATTTGGGTTGGAAGGGACCTTAAAGATCCTCTGGTTTCAACTCCCTGCTATGGGCAGGGACACCTTCCACTAGACCAGGTTGCTCCAAGCCCTGTCCAACCTGGCCTTCAACACTTTCAGGGATGGGGCAGCTGCAGTTGCTCTGGGCAACCTGTGCCAGGGCCTCATCACCCTCACAAGGAAGAATTTCTTCCTAACGTCTCCTCTGACCCTGCCCACTGTCAATCTCCCCCTTCCTCCTGCTTGGCTGTGGCAGCTCCCACCCCTGCACCTGGGGTTACTTGATCCCAGAATCAGCTCATGTAGGTAGAAACTGCTCTCTTAGAATTTTTTTTTTTTTTTTTGCTGGTGTTTTTTTTTTAAAGCTGGACTAGTTTTTCTGCTGGCATTGTTCCCTGAGCGAGTGAGCTGTGGGATGCGGGATGGTGACTGAGCGAGGGAGAATGTGCTAATGTGTGGTCAAGGACGGGTGCAGGGGTGGGAGTGTGGGATTACGGCGGCCGCAGCTTTCATTTGCGGGAAGGATGTGTGAGCACAGCCTTGGAGAGGCTCGGAGGAGTGCTCGCTGAGCTGCTGGGCCCAGCACTGTGCCCCAGGGATCCGTGGGCAGGGTTCTGCTGGGATAACGGCAAAGCTACTGGATCCCTTCACAGTGTCCAGCTGACCTGGCTCGCTTGGGGTGAGACAATCCAGTTGCTTAAAAAAATAAAGCAAGCAAATATGGCAGGGATTGCAGCTGCTGTTAGTTACAGGCAGGAGTATGTGGAATTTGGGGGTTTTGGTTGTTTGTTTTTTCCTTCAGGCATATAGAAGGATTCCCGTGCAAGGCCACGAGTTGGACTCGATGATCCCTGTTGGTCCCTTCCAACTCAGGATATTCGATGATATTCTTTCCCTGGAAGCACAGTCCTAGGAAAACAGAGCTGGAAGATGTCCATGGCTGTTTCTCACCAGTGCCTGCTGCCCTGCTCTGCTCCCACACTTGGAGCTCAAACACAATGAGTGTCTCCTGGTGAATGAAGCCAGAAAAAGGGAAGAAGAGTCCTCACTGCCTGCCTGAGGCCTCAGTTCCAGTCCTGTGGTGTGTGTGGTGCTTCATGTGTGACAGAGCTTTGTAAGGCCTTGATTCTGTCTTCATCAGAAAAGGACAGTCTGAGCATTGTCACTTTCTGTGGTTCTGGAAAAGTACTGAAAAAAATTTAATTTCCAGCCCCAAATATTCTGATCCTCTAAGGCAGTGTCCTACAAATCTAGTTAGAGGATCTTCTCTATTAGCAGTAAGCACTGGAACACTTTTTAATATGAACGAAAACAATGGTGATGCAGAAGGATAAAACCAAAATAATGCTCCTGTGGCTTTGTACAGTGTAGAATTAAGGAATGTAATCCAAATAATAACATCTCGTGCTTTTATGGGGCTGCGTGCATATGGCATAAATGACAGCTCATTAAACTTTATATCCTGCTTACAAGATAAGCATGTAATTAGTATTACATCCTTTTTTATAATTAGGAGGCCTCATCCAAAAAAATGTGGCTCGCAAACCATATTTGAAGGCGGTGACTCAGCCTGAATTAGGCTGTGGTGTGAAGATTGAGAGAATCGTGCTTTAGTGGATAAAAAAAGCAGAGACAAAAGGTTGAGCTGGTGTCAGGTTCCTGCGCCCGGATCCACCCGCTGGAAAACACAGGTGGATTAACTTTTTGACATGAGGCGTGGGCTGGGGCCCATCCTGTCAGCCCAAGCTTTGTGCAAGACCATCCCTTCTCCCCAGTTTGCAGAAAATCCTGAAGCTGGCACAGGCCCCGCGTCGTGTTTCATGGCTGAGTTGACAGGAATGCCGCGCTCGATCTGGAACGAGCGCTGCGCTGGGGCTCGTGTTCACCCGCCGCCCTCGCCCTCTTCGTGAGCCTGGACGGCTGGGGTGGAGAACAGGGGAATTCCAGTCATCTGGGGATTATCCACAAATGTGTCTGTTTGTCACAGTCTGGGGTGAGAGGTCACCGATGGCTCCATTGTGCATGTCTCTGCCCGAGGGGTGGCTCAGGGTGGCTTGACATGGCTTGGGCTTGACTTGGTGCCATTGTTTATATTAGGAATTGATTTTCTCAGCTCCGTGGAGCTGGCACTGATGGTCTCTCCCGTTCTCCTAGTGAGTAGCTGCCACCATCCACCTTATGGCAGCCAGAAAGACTGACGAGGAGCAGTTTGCTGGGCTGCAGTTTGCTCCTGGAGGCTCCCAGCCGAGGCAAGGAGGTGATGAGGCAGCTGCTGCGCCAGAGCCAAATTCCTGACGTGTTCCTGAAGGAAACGGGCGGCAGGGAGAAGTGACCGGGTGAGTGTGTGACGACAGCCATGGAGACAAGTGGGGACAGCCATCCTCCCTGGGACGGTGCTCTTCTGGGGACGTCATGGCACACGTCCATGGGGTCGGGTCCCGCAGCCTCTCGGTGGTGCTGGCTCTCCCGCCGCCCCTCCACGACCAGCCCTTCCAGGAGATTAAGGGTTTATTCTCTCAGCTCACACACACTAAACCGGGCAATAATCTCCGCCACAGATGTGCGATGGGAGGAGAAACGTGCGAAGCCACCACCCGGGCGGGCACGGGGCGGGCCGGAGCGGCGTTCCCGCAGGCCGGGGCGCGGCTTTCCCCCCGGGCGGGCCGAGCCGTGGCGCGGGGAGCGGGGCGGGAGCGGGGCAGGGCCGGGCTGCCCTCCGGCCCCCACGGCGGTGCCGCCGCTGCCCGCGGGCGGGTCCGGCCCAGGTGCGGGAGCCGCGGGGGCGGGCCTAGCGCGGACCCGCCCTCTCAGCCAATCGGCGGCGAGGGCGCGGAGGGGCGGTGCGGGGCTCGCCCATTGGCTGTCGGCGCGCGGGGGGCGTGGCGCGGTGGCGGCGCGGGCCCGGCCCGGGCGGCGGCCCCAGAGCGGCGGCAGCTCCGCCCCCGCCGCGGCTCCGCTCCCGCCGCTCCGCCCGGCCCCGCTCCGCTCCGCCCGGCTCGGCCCGGCCTGGCCCGGCACCGCTCTCCCGCCGGCTCCCCGCACGGCCGGCTGCGCGCCTCGCCTTAGGAAACCTCTGGTTTTTCTCCCCTTTTCACCGTTTCTTGCCGGTTTCCCCCCGCAGTGCCCGGCAGCATGGGGCTGCCGGCGCTGGAGTTCAGCGAGTGCTGCCTGGACAGCCCGCAGTTCCGGGAGCGGCTGCGCTCCCACGAGGCCGAGCTGGACAAGACCAACAAGTTCATCAAGGAGCTCATCAAGGACGGGAAGTCGCTCGTCGCCGCCCTCAAAAGTAAGTGCGGGGCCGGGGGCGGGATCCCGCGACCCCTGGCTGCTCCCCCGGCCCGCCTGCTGTTCCCCGCGCTGCCCGGGCCGGGCCGGGGGCTCCTGCTCCATCGGGGGCTACCTGCGTCCACCCTGTCCCCCCTGCATGTTGTGGTCTGGCTGGGCCATTGGGATGTGCCTGGTCCAGGTCCAGCGGGACGTGCATGATCCATCAGGATGTGCCTGGCCGTGGTCGTTGGGGACATGTGTGGTCCTGGGTGCTGGTCCTAGTCTGTCTGAATACGTGTGGTCCATCAGGATGGATCCTTCGGGATGTGCGTGGTTCTGGTCCTGGTCCATGAGGATGTGCATGAGCATGGTCCACTGGGACATGTTTGGTACTGGTCCTGGTCCACCAGGATGTGCATGGTCACGGGAAATGTGTAGTCCTGGTCTGCCAACTCCCAGTCCGTGGCCCTCAGCAGTTGCATCCTTTGGGGATGGTTTGCCTGGGTGATGGGTTGGTGCTGTGCCCACCCCCCCAGTTGTTGTCAGTACCCTCGTTGCTCAGGGTGGGGGGTGCCCCATTGTGGCTCTGACTGGGCTGACCCCTCCATCCCTCGTGGGGAAGTGTAGATGGTGTGGGGGGGCAAAGCTGCAAACCACTATGGTGGGTCTGGGTGGGAGGGGGATGCAGCAATGCAGGCTGTGGCTCCAGAGCTGGGGAGACCCTCACCTGTGGCTGGCAGCATCCTTGTTCTCCCTCATGCCCAGGCTGGGCTGACTCCTGTCCCCACAGCTAAGGTTGGGCCCAAATCACAGGGCACTTCCCCAGCCAGGGGTTTCAGGCTGGCAGCGTGCGTGGTTACCTTGCCAGGCTCAGCCTGCCCCAGTCGGTGCTGTGGGGTAACAGAGGGACACATGACACAGATCTGTGCCATGGAACTCCTGTGGCATCACCTGCCATGCCCCAGCCTGGCCTCGGGGATGCAGTAGGGTCATTGTGGGGCTGTGGGGCAGGGCTCTCACCCTGGGATGGGGGGACAGGTGATGCTCTGGCCAAGCCCACCACTCTGTCCATTCCTGGGAGAGCTGACTTCTGCTCCCTTCCTTTCTGATCTCACACTAAGCTCTGTGTGTGTAGTTCTTCTACGCTGGAGTAGCAGCTGGTAACATCTGGGTTATGTGGACCCCTATTGTACCAATTCTTGGCATTTTGGGTTAAAATAAACCCCAAATCCTTCAGCTGTCAACAGTTTTACAGCTCTGGAGGTCTGAGATGTGTTCTGCTGTGGAGCATTTGCTCAAGGCAGCCAGTGCCTGACCTTGCCTGGACTGTTCATTTTATCCCTACAGCATTTATCCTACAGCATTGTTCTTCACTGAAAATACATTTTAGGAGTTAACTGGTGGGTCCCGAGGGTGCTCGGCTCTGTGTTTAGTCACTGGGCATGTTTAGCAGGTGCTGGCTGAGGGGGCTGGCTGTGCCCTTGCTCAGTCACGCTGTGTGCAGGTATTTTGGGGTGTGCTGTGAGCCCCTGTGGGTTCGTGGCTGTTAGTGGGCTCCTGTCCCGCTGGCCATGGCCGTGCCTCACGGCCCCGCGCCCCAGGCTGCTGCACTGGGGCAGGAAGAACGCTCGCCGGCCTCTGGAGATAAGGATGTTTTTATGGCTGAATTGTTTTGTAGCCGCTATTGAATACGTTCCTGGATTAGCCCTTAATTCCTGCGCGGGGCCGGGGGGTTGCTCCGTGGGTGCCCCGGCTGCAGGGACAGGAATAACGCCGATTCTGCTGGAGTGTGAATCAGTGCCCAGGCGCCGGCGCTGCTGTGACCACATCCCCTGCACGTGTGGCACGGTCTGCAGGGCATTTTAGGGGGAAGGTCTGGGGATGTGTGGGGCAGGGCACTGCCTGGGATGCTGGGAAGGGTTGTCCCCTTCCTGGCTGGATGCTCAGCTGCTCTGTACATCCTTCTCCTGCTGCAGGAGTGACTTCACTGGCTGAGGGGCTGCTCCAAGCTGTGATGCTTGTGACTGCTTCAGCAGAGCTGGCACAGGACAGGATCTGTCCCAGCTCTCCCCATGTGTGTTACCCTTGGTGTGTGGTGGGTCCAAGGTCTGACACGTTGCCTAAGCTCTTACAGACCATTCTGGCAGGGATGGAGATGCTGCAGGAGGAGGGAGCTGCTCTGCTGCCTGTTGCTTGGTGTTGCTTTCATGTCTGGAGATGATGTCCCCCCATCTGGGGACAGCTCAGGGCTGGGGATGTCACCCCTGTCAGTCAGTACAGGTGATATCTGGGGCCATTCCTGGCCGTGACTGGTGCTTGCTTCTCTTAGCCAGCTTTTATTTTTCTCTGGTGTCTCCAAATTGTTCATCTCCTCATTCATTGCTGGGCATGGTGGCCTTATCTAGCTGTCATTGTCTCCATGCTGCTCCTCAGCTGTTCTGGCATGTGGAAGTGGAGGCAGGCAGGCCCAGAGAGCAGCAGACCCCCAGCTCAAGGCACACTACCCTTGGAGCGAGGGGCTGGGAGGGTGTCTGGGCCCTTGGCACAGCACAGTGTCCTGGAACCAGAGTTACGTGAGGTCTTGGCAATATCCTTGCTCATTTTCCTTCCTCTTGCCTTTGCTGAACATTTCACATCCTCTTTGTTTGAAGATGGGCGTGAGGGGAACATAACTCCTTGTGTATCGGCGAGGGGTAGCTTGGACGGGCCGGGACGATGGTGATGGGAGAAGGTGCAGGAGGGGGGAAGAGCCCTTACAGTGCTGAGCAGGAGTGTTCTCCTGTTTCCCGCTCGGCCTCTCATGGCTCCCATGCTGACACCAGCATGCAGGGATGGTGAGGCTGGATAATGGCACGTAAGAGTGTCTCTGCCAGGGTTTGGTGAAGGGGCTGCTCTGCCCTGCTTTTGCCCTTCATGAGGTATGGAGGGAAACGGGACTGATTTCACAGCTCTTTATCCTTCCCTTAGAGAAAAAATAAATTTAGAAGATTGAAAATGATCCTCATTTGCTGAAGGACTGGTCTTCCTAAATGTCTTCAGATGCCGGGGGCATCTCTGGAGTGTGTGTGTATGTGTATATAGATAAATGCTGTTGGATTTTTTCTCCCCAGTGAGTTTCTGTGCCCGTTTCCATTGTCTCCCTTCGCTGCTTGGCTGGTATTCGGAGTGACCTGGTTTTCAGCAAAACGTGTCCCTCTTCCTCCCTGATCCACCACCATAAATTATTCAGAAAGTTTTGCAGATGCAAAGACTTCGAGTGTGACATAAATAATGAACTCGAAGCCTGGATGCCGTGAAACTCGTTCTCTAGTGAAGGAGCTGTGGTGACCATCAGGAACAGGCATGCTGAAGGATTTTGTCCCTTTGTGTGCCCCTGTGCTTGTGAAAGGGGTAGGCAGGGAGCTGTGTCCCAGCCAGCAGCTTGTCCCAGACCTTTTGCTTCCATGGAGGAGGATATGGAGCCCAGGTGCCCAGATGGTGATGCAGAGATGCCTGCAGCTTGCTTTGGAAGACAGGCAGCACATGTAAAGATGGAGGAGTGGGGGTGCAGGTGGCTGCCAGCCATCATCTCCCCCATGCTGAGTCTGGGGGCTGAGCTGGGCACTCTCCTCCTGTCCCTCCTCCTCCCTGTCTCCCTGTCCTGCCCGTGTCCCCGTGGCAGTGGGGCTGTCATCCCCTTCAGGCGCTGGGTGCAGCCCAGTGCCCTGCCACGTTTCTGCTGGTTTGTTTTGCTTCTTCCAACTCCCAGGCACTAATTTGAAGCCACCGAACCCGTCCACACCCCGGCTGCTGCCGCGCTCCCATGGCAGAGGCTGCAATTTCATTTATGTGGTGGGACTGGGATGGGGCTGGCTCTGTGAACCCTCTCCCCACGAGGGGCACAAGGGCTGGACCCCGAGGGGCTGGACCGTGCCCTGAGCTCCCATGGGAAGGGTGGAGGTGCCCTGCCCCAAAAGGCAAAGTTAGGCTGGTGTGGTGTTTTGGATCACTTTTGCTTTGGCTGATTTTTGTCTGGGTCACTTCAGAGCTGTGGCTGGCAGTGAGGAAGGGCAGGACTGAAGAGGGATGTAGGAAAGGAATGATGCTGGTGTGGACCTTGATCCTGCAGCAGCCTTGGGGTTTCTCTGGCCCCACTGGCTTCTCAGGGCAGATGCTGTGGTACTGTCTCACAGGTCTCATACCAGCTCTGCCTTCCACCAGCATGTCCCATCCTGGCTGCAGTGAGTACCTGGGGTTTTCCCCTGCTCCCAGCTGAGGTTTCCAGCTGGTGCATGTGGCTGACTGAGAAGTGTGGTCGCCCTTCTGTCTGTGCCTGCAGGGTGTGATTTTAATGAGCTGCCCCCCCGGGATGACCCCTGTGTGCCTGCACTGCACCAGGGTGGCGGTGGTGGCCGGTGATGCCAGCAGGGTTTTTGCTGCAGCTGTGGGGTTTTTCCTGCGACAAATCCAGTTCCAGGGTTGCTGTGCAGCTTAAAACGTGAAGTGGGGTAGTGGGGTGGTTGCTGGTGATGCTGTTGGTGTGCTGGGCTCGGGGATGTTCTTGCACACAGGTTCTGTTCCACATCTCAGCAGCATCTTGGTGAAGCCAATCCTTTATGAAACGGCCGTGGCTGTGTCCTGGCAATGCTGTACCCAGAGCTGTGCCCATGGCTGTGGGGCAGCAGTGAATGGAGCTGGCACTGATTGTGCAACAGCCTGGAAACGAAAGTGAAACTTTTGCCCAGTGTTTACTTAATTCCCTTTTGCACTAAACAAGGCTTAGGCGGGTGATAAGGAAACGTTTCACTGGCCAATACGATACCTTCAGTTGCCCACTTTGCCACCGTCACTGCCTCTCCCTTCCTGCTCTGCACGGCCCCTGGCTCAGCACACTCGGTCCCCGTGGGGAGTGGGTCTGGGGGAGCCCTGACTCAGGTGGGCAGAGGGCAGGTAGGCTGTAACAGAGTGCCGTGCACTCAAAATGCCCTTGTGTGCCTCTGCAGGGGCAAAGCCCTCGGCTGTATTGGAAGACATGCCCTG